AGATGACACACTCGAGCAGGATGAGGTTGCAAGAGAGGACGGTCTTAGTAGTTCTCTAGTTTTTGAGGGGTCTCACTAAGACGTCCAACGAGGCCTTAGTTGAGATGAGTGCCCTCCTAATCTCATTAAAGCTAGTCTTTTTGGGTAACAAACACAAGACTACATTATTAGTTCAGTCCAGTGAAACTTAAGTGAAGACAAACATTCACACCCTGATCTAATTCACACTCCACGAATAAACTAAAACCTCTCAGTTACAATTCATTGTCCATGAATGACAATCTTTTCTTTTCCATCTTTGGCAAAAATTATTGACAAGTGTTGTGGATGGAGGAATGACTCCATATACAAATACAATTGACCTCAGTAGCAATTTCGCAGGTTGGATATCGGTAGAGAAGCTCACAATTATTAGGCTATGTCTGTATTCCGGTTCTTCTTTGTCTTGAAGAGAAGCTCACAATGCATACCGGTATATTGCATCAGCTACACCGTTACGTTAGCCACAGCTTTTGTATTCTCCGCTCCGTTACTAAGAGCAATGCCTAAACAAGCTAGCTCAAGCATCTTGATATCATTTGCCCCATCGCCAATAGCCATGATCTGAAAAAACAAATTAAAAGAATCGATCAGGAATGACAACGATATTTGTATGCAAACAAGAAGTATATAAAGTCAATGACAGTGGCCTTATCATCCACCAACATCGCCAACTTGTGTCGATTGGTTAAACATACTGTTTAAACTATTCTTGGAACAATGCATACTGCTTATCATAGTAAGAACGATGCAGGGAAATATCAAATACCCCTTTTCAATCTGTAGTGATAATCCTTGTGCCGGTCAAGTTGAGGAACATGAACAACTCCCATTAAAACAAGAAAAACCCTAAAAAAAGGAGATGGAGAACAGCTTTGTTGTCCATACCTCTTTTGGAGTGATTCCCAAATGATCGAGCAGCATGCTCACTCCACTTCCTTTTGAGGTTCCAGGGGGAACAATTTCAAGCATGTCAGGCACGGTTTGATTGCTTCTGACCAGTATGGCCTCAAAGCAGTTGTTACTACCTCAGCAGTATCCATGAAGACTAGTTTCTGTATATCGATAACGTATGCATCATTACAAGAACTGAAAGCAGCAAGAACTAAAGGATATTAATTCAATCAAAATTTTACAAATGAGACCAAGTGGTATGAACTGGAGACGCTAGACAATGGATTTCTGACTAAAACCTCAATCTTCCATGAATCAATAGAAATTAAGAGCAAAACCCTAAGCTTAATATTTTTTTTTTTCTCTTTGTTAGAGAGGATGGGGAGAGTATTGTTCCTCCTTGAGGGCCGTACAGGGCCGTACCTGTATACCAGCAGCAGCCATGAGATGCTCAACTGAAGGCATGATCTCCACCTGTAAATAAATACTTTCCATGTAAGTTATATAAAATGGTGCAAAATTAAACCTCAGTCAGTAAGCTAGTATTTATGACCATGATGAAACAAACTTTTGGCACCTTTTGCTCGTGATATACAGTATGCATGGAATCAACAAGTGGGTGATCATAAAGGGATAAGCAACGATCCTTGGTGATTGCAATAAGAGGAACCTCATTCTCCAGAGAGTAACGACATGCCTGCACATATGGTCTTTTATTTCATTACAAGCCAATGAATAATATATTCATGCAAGCCTCACCAAACTATTACCTCTCTGCATGCATCTGTATCCAAATTCCTTCTAAAAATTTCCTGACCTTGTGTACCATAAACAAGCAATCCCTGGAATCAAGTCAAGGCAGACGATAAGGACAAAATGTATTAATATCAACTCAAGCCAGACAAAAAATAGTCCTAAGAGGGAGAGATGATAAATGTAACAACCAATGAGAATTTTGTTTCTTAAAAGCTTGACCAACCATTACAGATATCAAGTCATTCATAAGATACTTGAGGTGGTGGAATTTACATAAGTTTGGTGACAGACAAAGAGTATGTAAATGTTTAAGAGGGAAAAGGAATGGATATCACGGTTCCCTCTATTGTCCTTATCAAGCTTACAAAAGAGAGTACCACATGTAGATCGAGGGCAGATGAAAGTGAGAAAATTATTTCATGTGTGAGATATAACCAAAGCAACTTAAAACATTAAGATAGCAGCTCTCCGGACAGGAGTAAGCATGCTTCTATCAAGTGAAGACAATTCTATGTTCCTCACATATAACTTGGCAACAAGCTTGAGATGAAATTTTCAAGGGAAAAAGAGAACCTGCAAGAAAACCCCAGGAGAAAATTCTGAAACAATGCCATCTTTTCCAGTTAAATCTATGTCCTTAAAAATGTGAATCACAGCTGGCCGAGCCAGTTCCAAAGAGCTGTCAACAATTAGAAGATTTTTTTAATCAACACAATTCAACAATCAAGAATCATGTACCAAGTAACACTGAACACCAGAATAAGTTAAATTTATAATACATTTCTATAATGTCTCCTGCTGATAATGAATAGAAAATGAGATTCTTACATTTCCGGTTGCTATCACTATTTTCACACCCCTTGATGAGGCCTCCTTCATAGCCTTGACATTCGTTGAGCTCAGTTGGCTTTTGCTGTTGAGAAGGGTGCCTTGTATATCAAGAAAAAATAATATACAAACACCGACACAATAAGCCCAAACTTACCATCCATATCACAGAATATATATCTGAACTTTTGCTTATAGTATTGAGGGCTTCCTTCTTTCTTCCTGTCTTTAACAACTCAGATGTAAGATTATCTCATCACAAAGTTTAACCAAGCAAATTGAGGCTACAGATTGAATGAAGAGTTTAATGATTAACAAATAAAATAATGTCCATAAAATAAGGATGTAAAAGTGAAGCTGTAGAAAGATAAGGTTTACCACTTAGTTTGAGCCCATCGGAATGGGTCGCAGCATCATATGCACTCTGAATTAACCCTTTTCCTTTCCACCCAAGACTCTTTAAGAGAAGATCCTCCTTCTTCTCCATTTCCACTTCAGTGTCTTCACTAACCTCGTGATCAAATCCAAACAGATGTAACAATCCATGTACCTACAGGAGGGTTTAGTAATTATAGTTATCAAACTATGACCGAAAGTTACAAATTCAAATTCTTAACATCTGAAGACCACACATTCGTTCGAAGAAGCATATGTTCAAGAAGCGTATAACACACTAATAATAATGTTCATAAGCCAACCATGAGAATGCGCATCTCGTCAAGAAGCATATGGCCTCTTTGCTCCGCTTGTCTTGCTGCTGTCTCAACAGAAATCACAATGTCCCCCAAGATAAGCTGCAAACCATACAATGTACTAAGAATGCATGCTTTCACTCTAACAAAGAAAACGATATAAATTATCGAACGAGCTAGTACAGTAGTACCATCGGAAGCTTAAGATCAGGGGCATGTTGGGACATGGAAATTATATCAGTAGCATTGTCCTCCCCTCTCCACTCCTTATTAAGTTTCCGGATAACCTCGTCATCGCAAAGAAGCACCGAAAGCTCCACGCTTTCATATCCCGCAAGACCGCCTATAGCATTGTCCCTTGTTTTATACGTAGAATCTTTCAGCCCATCAAACACTCGCTTCACTGCCACCGGAGCATCCAGCCGGAGCAGTTGCGCAATTCTCTGCAATCTTCAAACTCCATTTCACTTCAGCCAATCAGCTATACTGGTATTACGTAAGAGACATTTATACAAACAGTTGGTGATAGACTGATAGTTGCATACCAAGATTTCGGGATCGTTCAAAGCTTCTTGGATAGAAATACTGACATCGAGCTCGTGCTCTTTCTCCTTGCTTTTCAGGGACCGCCGCCGAACCTTTCTTTCGCCTTTCTGCCACTGTAGATTCGTCCCCTTAACAGTGGCGGTCTGGCTGCACACCTCCATTTGTCTCCGTGCGTCACGTGAAGTCTCCGGCCGAATACCGATGTTACGGAGGCCTCAAAGCGGTGTGTTTTTGGAGGGGAGATTAAACCCGGCGCAGATGGAAACGATGAGCTGGAAATTAGGGTGGCGCGTGGGATCTAACGCGCCATTAGAGCGGCGGAGGAGGGGGACTAGAAGGGTAGGTGGAGGAGCATGTAGGCGTCCGGAGCTCTTGAGGCAATGTGAGTGCGGTGATTGGTTGGCACTTCCCGCTTTGTGAATAGCAAACGGGATACGACTAACGACATAATTGATTGAACTCTCAAATTCTAATAAAGAGGATCTGCAGAGAATACAGCGATAGTAACGTTATCGGCTAAAAGTATTTTTTTTCTTATAAAAGCTTTTGAATCCTTTTTTTTAAAATAGAAATGTCCCCCAAATGCTATCATTTGTATGAAATTAGAGGCTAAAAGATTGTCTTCCACAATTAACCTCCGAAACCTTTTTTTTTGTTGAACCTTCCAAACTTTACGATGGTTTGGTTGCAAAGTTATTCTCGTTATTTCTCGTGACTAGAATAACTAGAATTATTTTTTGGCTAACTCATTTTTTTTTAAATTTATTATTACCAAGCAGAGAGATTCAAAATTATTACGATAATTAAAAAAAAAGGTATCTTAAAGCCGTAACTCATGGTATTAATCCAACCCTATTCACCAAAGTTTTGTAAGAGTAGCAAATGTGGCATGTTGAATGACAATTCACTTCATTACTTCCAAGTTTGTAGTGGACAATTGCTCGATTTGAAGCGAGACTCTGAAGATGGAGGCCGTTGAAAACGGAGAGATTGGAAGGAGCAGGGGTGGAAGAAGATTGGAGAATTTAAGAGAAGGAGTAAATTGATGTATCGTAAACTTTACAGATTAAATTGATGGATTTTAACTTTAAGGACTACTTTTGATAAATTTTATTTTATTTTTGGTCAGAAACCATTTATGATAAAATAATAAAATATCTATGAAGTGAAATAAATCAAATTTTTTGGGAAGACTAGCTGGACGTAACGTGTGCAGGGTCTTTAATTTAATCAAATCCGCATCCGATCAAACCCTAACCGTCTCTACCGCCACTTCTGAATCCTCTCTCTCAATGCCCAATTCAGATCGCTCTCACTCTCTCCCGTCTCCTCCACCAACCAATTAGATTTCCGATTCTCCTCGGCCGACGAATTAGGGTTCCGATTGTTTCAGCAACTCACACTCTCGACTCGAATTGCCTTCTAAACGCCAGCTTCCTAAACAATTTCTTCAGTTAGGTTCCATAAATACTCAATCTTGATAGCTCGAGTGCTGAAATGGCGGGTTCTGAGGATCCAGTGGCCTCTTCCCCGGCTGAGCAGCCGCCAAAGCACTACGGCACCACCAAGCCAATCTTCCTTTCCGGTCCTACCGAGTATGATCTTCAACGAAATGTCGAACTTGAAAAGGTACATGGATGCGTACATAAATCTGTTTTATGATGCTAAAGATTGGTTATTTTTAGTTGGCTTGATTTGCAAGTTGCTGATTTTATCTGTTTTCTATTGATTTTGGTAGTACTTGATTGATTCGGAACTTTACGAGAGCAAAGACGAGGCTGCGAAAAGAGAAGAGGTTCTTGGCCGCATTGATCAGGTATATAGTTCACTGTTCTATTGTTGGCTAATATCAGTAATGCGACCCTTATAGTTACAATGGATGTCTTTTTTTCTGATGATATTGGGAATGATTTAAGAATTTTATCGCAATTGGCGGGTCAATTTAAGGCATTACCAGTGTAGGGTTGTTCTGTGCATACTGTCAGTTGTGTGTGACCTAAAGCCCTCATTTGATGCTTAGGATTGCCTTGGCTTGGCTTGGACAACAGACTAAATTCAATTAATGTTGAATGAGAATTTGGATGCCAACTTGCATATTTTGTCCAAGTGATGGTAGAAGATGGAGAAATCATGAAGAATGCTTATCCCTCCTAATCCCTACAAAAATGTTAGGATTGAAAGGGACAAGTTTTCTTCATGACTTCTCGATCATATCCACTTGGACAAAATATGCAAATTGACATCTATATTTCTATTCAACATTCTTTGAATCTAGTTGATTGTCCAAGCCAATCCTAGACATCAAGTAAGCCTAAAATTTATTATTTGGTTCCCTTTGGATTATTAGCTTATGTTTACCATTACTGTCGTCATTGATACGCCATGTGGTATATCAAACTTCTATAGATTTGAAGGCTTGCATTTCGCTTCGGTTGGATTGTATTTTTGTTCGATGAGGTTACCAATGGTTATACTGAGTTTATTTTTACCTGTAGATTGTGAAAGGCTGGGTGAAGCAGTTGACAAGTCAAAGAGGCTACACGGATCAGATGGTGGAGGACATGAATGCTGTCATTTTTACTTTTGGGTCTTATCGTCTTGGGGTAAATATCAGTTCCAACGATTAGTTCTAGTAGTAGTGCACCATCAATTTCTTTTGCTTTGTATAATCATTTTTATAGGTGTGTTATGTTTGAATTCGTAGTGGATCCACAGTTGATTATTTTTCCCTCTATTTAACTCTGTTTACAAGTATACCTTGTAACTCATGTTATTCTTATATGGTGGGGGATACAATTTCATCTCTGGAGTTTCACGAACAGATTTGGGTTATGATCCAGAATGGTATGCTATCCGTTTTTGGTGATTTGATATGCCACTCATATGCTTGGATGTGGCAAGCAAGGATCCATGCTTTGTAATGAAAAAACTGGTACATGTCAATTAGCCAAGGATAATGCTGATATTAAAATCTACTGGACGGTTCTCATTTATGATGAAACCTTATAAGAATAACAAGCTCTTATTAGGACTTTGTTCATTGAAAATGATGCCATTGCCAGTGGATGTGATCATGAAAACATATAAAACATCCGAGGATCATCAATGCTTCAGTCTATGAGAACAGTTTGTTCCACAAAGGTGAACAACTCCTATGTGATCAGTCTTATTAGTTCATTGAAATTGATGCCATTGCCAGTGGATGTGATCATGTGAAAATTTAAAACACCTGAGGATCATCAGAAGCATCTATGAGAACAATTAGTTCCACAACAGTGAACAACTCCTATGTGATCAGTCTTATTTTAGAAGGAAAACTAATGAAAGGGGCTTGAAAACTTTGAGTTTTAATGATAAGGTAATGATAAGGACAAAATAAAGAGTAAAGTGAATAGTACTAGGATTGACTTTTTAGTGTAAAAATATGATTTTTCGTTAAAGTGAACAGTACCTTGGGCTTTTCGTTATAACTCCCTATTTTAGAATTTGCTGTTGTTGTGATCATTTACTCAACTTTACTTTATTAGATGTTATAGTACATACCTAGCTTTGTTCTTGCTTTGATTGTGTGGTCCAACTATTGAGTGTGGAACTTTTTACACTACTTGTGCCCATAGCATTATGGCCATGGTACCTGTATTATTAATGTATTTATTTCTGTGACAGGTTCATGGGCCTGGAGCTGACATAGACACTTTGTGTGTTGGGCCATCATATGTGAATCGAGAGGTGATTTATGCATACACATTCATATGTATAGTCCTGATTCTTTCTTAATTTGTTTGACCAGACTTGTGACCGATTCTTTCTTAATTTGTTCGACCAGAATTGTTACCTGCAGCTCTACCTCACACTTGACTATTTCTGCAGGAAGATTTCTTTATTACATTGCATGATATCCTTGCTGAATTGGAAGAGGTTACTGAACTTCAACCAGTTCCTGATGCTCATGTCCCCGTCATGAAATTCAAGTTCCAGGGAATATCAATTGATCTTTTGTATGCAAGCATCTCTTTTTTGGTTGTTCCAGAAGTGAGTACAGAACACATATTCTTAAAATCTATTGCTATTTGTTCTGTTTATCCATTTCATTGTGTTTCATGACCATATGACCATATATAAAAAACTATTTCCGAGCCAATGTGATTTTCTCTTGCATCCTTCCTCACTTGTTTTGTCAGCTGGGCCATCTAAGGTTCTGGTACTAGTGTGGAAAATTGGTTTATTACTAACATTTGAAGATGCATACGCTGCTACTGATGATAGAGATAACAAAGAGTGATCCTGGTGTTCTTTATGATATTGATGTGGTGTTGGAACATGCTTGTCAATAGGATCTAGACATCTCACATGGATCTGTGCTATATGATGTTGATGAGCAAACTGTTCGAAGTCTGAACGGCTGCAGGGTTGCAGATCAAATTCTTAAACTTGTCCCCAATGTTGAGGTTGATCACGTCTTATCTCTTGCCCTGGTTTATTTTGTGGTTTAATTGACTCAAGGTGTGACACTCTATTTAACTGTAGCACTTCCGGACGACACTCAGATGTTTGAAGTTTTGGGCTAAAAGACGTGGTGTTTATTCAAATGTAAGTTTTGCTGTGTTCAGAGCTGTTCAGAATCCTCATTATTAATAACTCATTAGTTTTACACTTATGAAATGATGTAATTTTTTGTTCTATTGTGTGTAGGTTACTGGATTCCTTGGTGGTGTAAATTGGGCTATCTTAGTTGCTCGGATATGCCAGCTTTATCCCAATGCAATTCCTAGCATGTTGGTTTCCAAATTTTTCAGAGTGTATACTCAGTGGCGTTGGCCAAATCCTGTAATTTTATGTTCAATTGAAGAGAATGAACTTGGGTTCCCTACATGGGACCCTCGTAGAAACCCTCGGGACCGCCTTCATCATATGCCAATAATAACTCCTGCATACCCTTGCATGAACTCTAGTTACAATGTCTCAGTAAGTACTCTACGTGTTATGGCAGAGCAGTTCGACCATGGTAATAGGATATGTGAGGTGAGAGCATAAATTGAATATATTTTGCGTTGGCTGGTTTTATTTCATTATTGATTGCCTTTGCCCTTTGGTTTTATTACAGGAGATTGAGCTGAATAAGGCCCAGTGGAGTGCTCTCTTTGAACCTTATCTCTTCTTTGAGGCATACAAAAATTATCTACAAGTTGACATAGTTGCAGCTGATGTTGATGACTTGCTGACGTGGAAGGGATGGGTGGAATCCCGGTTTAGACAGCTTACCCTGAAGGTAAACGGTTTCTTCTGGAGTTTTTTTGAAAGCTTTTATAGTGGTTTTCCTCTTAATGTTTAGCATTTTATCTCCATGCAGATAGAGCGAGACACGAAAGGGATGCTGCAGTGCCATCCATATCCTAAGGAATATGTCGATGTATCCAAGCCATGCCCGCACTGTGCTTTCTTTATGGGTTTGCAGAGGAAAGAGGGAGTGAGAGGTAAAGAAGGTCAGCAATTTGATATACGTGGAACAGTCGATGAGTTCAGGGAAGGAATAAACATGTACATGTTCTGGAAACCTGGGATGGATATATATGTTTCTCATGTTCGCCGGAAGCAGCTTCCTCCCTTTGTTTTCCCTGATGGGTGTAAGCGGCCTCGATTATCAAGGCATGTAAGTCAGCAGGACGAAAGAACTTATGAAGATTCTGCAGGTTGTAGTTCTGGGTCTGCGGAAAGACATACCAGGAGGAAAATTGATCATAAAACAGAGGATGTGAGGGCAATCAAACTCGAGAAGCAGATGTCTGTTAGTTCACAATTGATGGAGTCTGTGGCCCCAGAAAGTAGTACAGGTGGAGCACCTGATACCAGCTTCAGTAACAGCATTAGGTTAGAGTGTCTGGCAACTGGAGATGCAGAAAAGAAATCTGATAGTAGATTGCCTGTTGGACAGTTAGAGAGGGAAAGGGGAAGCGTTGGAGACGTGAGAACGGTTGATAATGTTGTGCACGAATCCAATACTACAAATGAGTGCACATCTTTGCATGTTCCTGAATTTCCCAAAGTCAGAAATGAGGTCAAGCCTTCACAAGAGGATTATGAGGTAAAACCATCTGAACAGTTGGAGAAACCTCTTTCCTGGAAGGAGCTGGTAATTCCGTGTGCAGCGTCTATCTCAGAGTCCAAGGAAACATGTGAGATGGCCTAAATAAGGACAGAATTGGAAATGTGCATTGGCTGACGTGCAGAATATGGAGGCTGACTCTACTGGAAGACTGCTGAATTGGACAGCAGATGCTATTGATGTTGACCAAGAACTAGTCAAACCATGTAGTCGGAAGATGGGGCTGGAGAATGCTGAATGTGCATTGGGGTCACTTCTATCACTCAAACTCAATTGCGAAGCGAGTTACTTGATTTGTGAACTCTGGATTAGGAATTGTACCAGATGGAAGTGAGAAAACTGAAAGTTCTGGAGAAGATGGTGGGAGAAGGGGATATTTGCAGGATGATTCACTTTTGGAATTGCCAGAGTTGCTTGGGAAATGGCGCTTTATAAATGCGAATAGGGTATTTCAAAATGCCTTGTCAGAAGAGGTTAAGGTTTTAACATAAACTCTCTTATACATGTTTTCTCTATTTTCCTTTTTTTAGCACAATGTCTTTAACTGGTGCAAATTGTGGTGGCAGGTTCTGCACCACTATACGTGATTTGTTCCCAGTAACTGTGCTTAATACCTTTCAAGTTTTGTGTACCCGTAGTGTTTATCTCATCTCTTTTCTCCAATACATTTTTAGGAACCTGAAAAGTCTTTTATTCTCGATCTTGTATTGTAGAGCCGGCTGTAGCAATCGGGAGCACCGTCAATTTTGAAGATGGAGCTAGGTCAGGATCTTTTCAGAGGCCAACAGTAAGGCATGCATTTGAAACTCATAATATTTTTTAAACAAACCATTATATCTTTATACTGGCCTGTTTGGTGGCTCTTTTGCAACAGGTGAAGTCTGAGGTCATTGGAATGACCTTTCAACTTTCGGCAAGAAATCATTGATGGAATCTCACTTTTCCAAGGAAAAAAAGGTAGCACAAGGGTAAGTGCCATTTTAACTGGTGGATTTCATTACGTTTTCAAGGTGTGTGATGCCCTTCCAAAGTAGCGTGGAAGTTTCATCCGTGCAAAAGAGAATTCCGCATGGCTTGGTCCGTCTGTGTATGATCTTCGGCTTCAATGTGGCCTGCTAAAGTTTAAGCACCATGAATTCATGAAAAAGTGTTGTTGCAGTCGCCAAGAACCCTGTTATTTGAGCTGTATAGATTTGTATGGAAGTCACTTTTATCAGGGCAAGGGTTCATCAAGAACTGAAATGAGCAGGCTGTGAGGGGTTTTGCTTTCTTATTGTCTATATATGCACTCATCAAATTTCTGGAGTCTGTACAACCCGCCATTGTAATACAGATTTTTAGCCATGCTCTCTCTCTCTCTCTCTCTGTTTGGAAACAAAAGCTCGATTTTCTCACGATATCGAAACAGTAGACCAAGTGAACATTTACTGCAAAACTGAGACTTAAAAGCCTATGACTAAAAGTGTTTACAATGCTTCCCTTCTCTTATGTATAAAGCTATACTGATCTTGAAAGTTGAAACTAGTTGGAAATTCGACATGGAACCCCTACCGATGCTTTCCCGCCAGCATATATTCACGTCGAGATTTCTTCCCAATTATTATGTACATTACACACTGTAAACTAAGCTGTCGTCGTGCGCCTTACTGCGTTTGTAACTGGAAACGTACGTGCCAGTGCTGAGGAGGGGAGAAACATCAAAGTCACTTCCCACCTGTCTCACTTCAAAACCTTCCGACGGACCATGGCCGCGAAGAATGTGCAGAACTTCCTTCATTGAAGGACGGTTTGAAGGTAATGTGCTGGTGCAGATGAGTCCCTAGTTTTAGCACGGTGCCCATCTCTTCCAAGTAACACGGTTTTGCGATCTCCCCATCGAGGGCATCAGTTATGGTCTTTCCCTCGCTGTATTCCCGCCATACCCATTCTGCTAGGCCTGTATGCTCATCTCCGCGGTTGGGTTCTCTCCCGGTTGTTAGTTCCAGGAGTACAACCCCGAAGCTGTAGACATCTATCTTTTCGTTGATTTTCGTTGTATAAGAATACTCTGAAAAGCAAAATGTCATACAAATTAAGTAATGTTCGAAAACTATGAATGCAAAACAGACCAATTTAAGCTCTTACCTGGTGCCATGTAGCCGAAGGAGCCTGCAATAGCGGACATTGTGTGATGATCTCCATCCTTGGAAAAAATCTTTGCTAGTCCAAAATCTGCTATTCGAGCCTTGAATTCAGAATCCAACAAGATATTGCTGGACTTCACATCACGATGAATTATCGGCGGAGAGCAGTCATGGTGCATGTAACACAAGCCTTGTGCAGCCCCTATCGCAATCTGCAACCTCGTCGGCCAGTCCAAAACAATATGATTAGCCACACCCAGGCCTGATGCTGGTCTTCTCCTCTTCCCATGTAGCCACTTATCGAGGCTCTGATTTGCCATGTACTCGTACACAAGAAGCTTTGAATTGTCACTTGAAATGCAGCACCACAACTTAACAATGTTCGAATGGCGAATTGTCCCCAGTATCTCAACCTCAGCAATGAATTCTTTCTCAAGCCTCTCATCCAATCTGTTGGTGTTACAAATCTTTTTCACCGCGACATATTCACCCGGGCAGTTGGTGCTAACCTTATAAACATTCCCTGAACCCCCACTTCCAATGAGATTGGTATCCGTCAAACTTGCCAACACGTTGAACTCTGTGAGATTCAATCTGTGGAATGAGGTGAGCTTCCATGTTGCCAAGTCCTGACCGCGCTTTCTCCTCCAGTAGTCTCTGACCACGAAAAAGGTCAATAAAACAGTAACAAGGAACATCGCAATGGGGACTAGAATCATGGCAAGGACTTTCGAGGACAGCTTGTGGGAGACACGGACTTTGGTGTAACAACCGGGAAGGTTAAGAACTGGACTATTGGCGCAAAGATTCGAATTGTTCAAGAAACTGTTTTCATATGCGAGATTATCAAACACATCTGGGATTTTGCCGGAAAGCTTGTTGGAAGACAAGTTAAGAGAACTGAGAATCAAGTTGCCGAACTCAGCTGGGATTTCGCCTGTGAATTGGTTCCCGGACAAGTCCAAGTATAGCAGGTTGGGCAAAGAACCAATGGCTGCTGGAATGTGGCCCGAAAACGCATTTCTCGAGAGGTTCAAAGTATTCAAGGATTCCCATGAGATGATCTGAGATGGTAATTCACCCGAAAATTGATTCCCGTCAAGCAGCAGAGTGTTCAGCTGAGACAGACTAGTCAGTTCAACTGGGATTTTCCCCGAAAACAGATTTCCGCTCGCCTTAAAAACAACCAAACGTTCCCAGGACGAAACTTGAGCCGGAATCTCACCGGAAAATCTGTTGTTGCTGATTTCCAGCCTGGACAGATTCCAAGCCAGCTTGCTGGCGGGAAGCTGACCCGAAAACAAATTGTCACTCAGCATCAAACTCGACAGAGTTAGTCCGGTCCAAACTCCGAAAGGAACCTCACCCGAAAAACGGTTGTGGTAGACCTTCAGCGTCCGCAAAGATTACAATTTCCAAGCCCTTTCGGCAACTCTCCGGTAAAATTATTAGAGAACGCAACAGCTCTTTGCAAAACTCCTCCGCTGCATAATTGTTCCGGTAGAGAGCCGCTCAGCTGATTCCCGGAGACATCAAAAGCTTCGAGCTTCGAGTGAAGGCCTAATTCCGGCGGCAAGGTCCCGTTCAACATGTTCTGAAAGACCTGAAATACCCTCATTGCCGGAATTAGGCCTAAACTCTCCGGAATCCCACCCGTTAATTGATTCGAAAAAAGATTCAAAACAGTCAGATTCTTTATCTTCCCAAAATCTTGTGGGATCGAGCCGCTCAAATTGTTCGTAGACAGATCAATCTGAGATAAATTCAACGCCTCGACAGCCAGCGGAATCTCCCCTGAAAATTTGTTGTTAAAGAGAAACAAATCGCTCAGATTCTTCAACAAAAACAACCCACCTGGAATCTTCCCTTCCAGATTGTTCCTCGCAAGATTCAAGTTCTCGAGGCTCGAGAGACCTGAAAAACTCTCCGGAATCTCTCCGATCAAGTTCGTATCCGTCATCCACAAGCTCTTCAGCTTCTTCAAATTCCCGAACTCCGTTGGGATGCTGGCCGCAGCCAAGTTTCCGTTATAAGGCATCTCGAATATTTCGAGATTTGACAAGTTCCCGATCTCCCGCGGAACACTCCCGTTGAACAGATTCGAATAAAGCTTGAGTGTCCTCAGCTCCGTCAGCCGGCCGATGGCCGCAGGAATGTTGCCGGAAAAATTGTTTCCTCCGAGGTCCAAGTACCTAAGAGACGGCGACATCCGGTAGATATCGGGGGGAATTGGGCCGACAAAGTAGTTCTGCGAGAGGTCAAGGACTTCGAGATTCGAGCAGTTGTAGAGAAATTTCGGGAACTCGCCTGGAATGTAATTCCAGGCGAGGTGGAGCTCTGCGAGGCGTGGGAGCTCGCAGATGGCCTCCGGTATTCTCTCCGTGATGTTTACATCGGGGAGGGAGAGCCCAGTGACCATGCCATTTGTGCAGTTGATCCCCGGCCAATCGCACGGTGAGGAGGAGGAGTTCCACGATTGGATGAACGGTGGATTTCCCCATTGTGCTTTGATCCTGAGGAGGATTGACTGCTCTGTGGATTGTGAAATTACGATCAAGGGTAGGGAGATGAGGAGGAGGAGAAGGGAGGATGGGAATGGCAGGGGTGTTTTCGACATTTCATGTGGCTTAGTTCGTTTGCTCCGGTTAGGTGTTTTGCCGGGAAAATGTGGGAGACGAGAGGCAACGGCAGCTATTTAAACTTGGTTGGCTTGGACCGCGGGATTCTATGCGTTTCTCCGTGTAGAAATGCCACCCACAATGGCCAAAATTACATTATGTCACTGACATTGATTTAATGATAATAATCGTGTCGTTTTAGTCAACTTAGAGGTTTATTTTGACACGCATCAAATGGAGCTAATAAGTAAACCTGACAACGATTTGTGTTTGTTTCATTTTTGTGTAATATCCGTTATTTTAATGTATTGTGTTGTATCAAATTCGTTATTTTAATTGGTTATTAACAGGTGACCAGATAAAGACCCGATCTGTTAACACTTCATGTTATTTTATGTCGGGTTAACGGATTGTACAATAAATTGTCATGTTTAATGTCTAGATCTAACAAATAATATCTCAACATGTTCTTAACGGGTGATCCAATAATGACCCGAATTGTGAATGAGTTCTTAATGGGCCACACTATAATGACGCAAATCGTTACCAAATTGACTCGAAATCTATTATTTTTGTGTCATTTCGTGTCGAATCAACAGATCGTGTAAAAAATTTCCAAGCCTACTAATAATCATATGTTTAGGGAGAAATTGAGAAAAATAATTACTTGGTATGGCCTTGTTTTCATTTTCTTGTCTCTTGTCTAAGGAAAATATGGATCGTTTAACAATATTAAGGAAAACCTTTAAGGGAAGGGCTTCTTTTTATTTTTTAATTTTATTTTTAATTTTTTTTATAAATGAGGATTAGTTATATGGTCCACACCACATTAAACTTTAACGATCCTGAACCATCTATTTTTCAAGTTCCACCTTATAGATCATCTTGCAAAATATTAGACAAATCGAAAATATTTAAGACATCTAATTGGGTTCAAAGAAATGAATGAATATTTTGTTTTACAAGAAACAATGAAATTTGATCTTGATAATTAAATAGGCAAATGATTTTGGATTGAATTTGAATTTTTGCAAGGATGATCTATGAATCAAGACTTACAAAATAGACCATTTAGATTGTTGAAATTCGATGTGATGTGGACCTTACACCTAATCTAAAGATCCCTTTGCATAAAGGGCTTGCAATATTAAGTAATAAAGCAAAATCTAGGGGCTGCGAATCTCTATCCAGTAAGATTTAATTATAATATAATATTCTTGAAGAATATTTCAATTAAAATTCGTTGTTTGATTAGTTTGGTGATGTAATGCAGTTACTAGTAGATTGTGAAATATCGATAACAAAGCTTATATTCTAATACTAATGATTATGTTAAGCTGCGTACGTGAGTTTTACTAATCTTTTGCTATGGCGTGAGAAGACAAATTAGAAATACATTTTTTTACATGTTGAAAGAGACATTTATTTAACATTTTGATAAATTTTTCAATGTGACGGTGATTAGCTGAGTAGCATATTTCATCCATAATCCCCGAGCTTACGAAAATTGACTGAGAGGCATATGCGTGAATACGAAAAGGAGCATGGGCCTTTGCTTTATTTTTTATTTTTTTATTTTTATTTTTTGATTTTGTTATAAA